TATTGTTTGCATAGCTGACAAATTGGTACTTTGGTTGTCGTGTGCTTAATGCATGATATAATTAAAGAAAAAGAGTAGACAATCTCCTATAACAAAAGAATATATTAGTACTAAATTCAATTTAAGACATTGCGAGATCACGCAGAGCTCGGAACACAGTTCATGCTACCATCGCATACTTTTCTGCGAGAAGTCTGAGTGAGTAAGGATGTCGCTTGCTCTCCCGATTAAGAACTTGGATTTTACCAGGCGCCATCCATGATAGAAGTTGAAGTATCTTCGGAACCCCCAGTCTCCCCCCAAGTACCATCGGTAGGTATTAGTACTTTGGGTAAATTTAACCTTTCTTCCAGATCTGGTAGTTTTAGGTGCTCTTAAAACGGGATGTAAGCTTCTTCCGGAGTGATGTTGATTAGAAGTTGTTGATCTTGATACAATGCTGGTTTGAGACGATCGATCCAATCAATGATGGTTTGCCATTGCAGATGTGGAAATGTTTCGTGTTCTTTGACACTTTGATGGACATCATATGAAGGTGTTAAATTGCTAATTGCATCGTTGCGCACGAAACTGCGAAGATGTCTCAGCGCAGATGTACAAAATAGCTTGGCTGTTATCGAGATGCGGGGTGGCAAGATATGCTCATGTCTCACGTAACGTTGAAGGATGTTGAGGGTCGATAACTGGAGTAGATTCTGGGTGAAGAAGTCACCTGCAGACGAGGTTGCACCATATACCTTTCCACAAGTTCTACAATGTCTTCTTTGACTGCTGTCGAAGACCAAGCAAGACAGGGGTAAGGCTTCGTCCGTTGTGCTACTTGTGGCACTTAACCTGTTTGAGAGATCGTGAAAGCTTCCACCATCCATTCCAGATGATGGTATTTGTGTTGTGCGAATATGGCAATGCCAAGAAGAGAGGTGAGGGATGCGAACAGTGACATTGAAATTGTCGCCTTGGTCTATGATGTGTAGGCACCAAATCTGAAAGCCAATGGAATGAATGCTCAAGCTACATTTCAGTGGATTATTTTCAATAGGAATGCTTCAGCCATCTTGTGTACCGATCATTACAGTGAGGGGAAGTTACCATTTGAAGAGGCAATGGCCACCAGTCTAATGCACATGATCAAAGCATCTTGCTGGAAGTCAATTGTTGAATGGGGCTAGGAGTGTGACGGATACTTTACAACCGTTGACACTATACATGAACGATCCATTCTGTATGTCTTGATTCATTGCTGCCAGACAAATCTTCTGCGATCAGCTTTTTGGTGTCAAGGATTCCAGATGTGCCATTGGCAAGGCATTGAACACTTCACTCTAATTGACAGGAATATAGGCACGTATTCTATGTTTCTCTAATTCACATTAATTTTAAGCGTTATATCAATGTGCTTGTGGTAACTGAGGGGGGTTTGTGGATTTGAGATTGGTTCTTGATTTCCTCATCAGCAATGAGCTTTTGCAATTTCAGAGAAGATGGGTCGTGAGGTTATATGTTTACCGAACAAGGCATCGCGACACAATTATCAGTACCGAGACATATCTGATATCTGTACTAAACTGGCGATGAATCCAATGTCGAAGCTACGAGGAGACATGAGTCAGAGTTTTTTTCTAAATCGAAGTTAATGGTCGATGATCGTGAAATGATGAAATTGTGTCTTTCAAGTTGTGGCCGAAGTTTTACGCACAGTACACAGCACTAGCTCCCTGTCATTGTGCTGTTTCCTTCTGGCAGTAGTAAGTTTTCTGAGAAGAATGCCATTGGGAAAGTCCTTTGTGGTTGGGCTTGAGCACTGCTCCTATGCCGTTCGATGCATCTACCATTATAGAGAGTGATCACTGGTGATGATAAGAAAGTGTGGCTTGCATTTGCAGATCGTGTTTTTTTTTTTTTTTGCTATTCTTCTAGAAATTTACTTGCTAGAAACGCTTCAGTTCAGAGATGGTTTTGGCGAATAGTTCGTTATTGTTTGACTCTTTCCCGGTAAAGGTTTGACCCATTCTGGGTGATAGACATCCAGAAAGGAAACTGAGGGTTGACCACGTACACTTTGGATGTATTTAGTTTTATCCGATCTTGAAGCGAGTACAAATCTACGCAGAGTGAAATGTGTCTTCCGCATCGTAGATGCAACAGGATACATCAATATATGGGATCGAAATCGAGCCAGACAGTACTTGGTGATGAAGAGCGAAAAATGTTTGGCCAGCATTGCGAAGGCCAATGCATATATACTACTCAAGAGACCTAATGGTGTAGTCCTGCGGTCTGGGCACATCTTCAGCATGCCGGGATCTGATATATGCTCTGGCAAGATCGAGTAGAAAATATGTTTGTTTATAAAAGATTGGTACAGTCTTGGATATGTGGGACTGATATCTGTCAGGGACGTGACGCATAAGTCGATGAGAATCTCCACAAGCGCATCCCATTAGACTTTTTACCCATAATGGACTGGCCCATGGACTTTAGAGGGCGAATGTTCCTGGTGCTAGCATATGCAATTCTTGCGCAGCTTTTACATTCTGGAAGACGACGGGTTGGAAATCAGGTGGCCATGTGTTCATGTGATGATCACTTCTGGCTGATGGTATGCTGCCCTGTTGGATGGTTTTAAAATGTCAGAATTCTGCTAAACCGATGAAACCGTGTGCGTCCCGATACACACTATGTTGTAGTCGTTCGATATGTGAGAGCTGCCCTGTGGATGTCAGCTGAGTTGTAGCATCATTAGCAATTATTCTTGATCCACTAGAAGGTGGAATGTGTCAAGATCGCACCAATATGTTGATTTTACATCCCCACTAAAAGGCCAGTTGAAGTCCGGCGCAGTTTTAATCAAGTGTCAATAGTTTGGTGCCGTAAATTGCAATCTGGGTACCATTTGCTGTATGCAGTACAAGTTTATTAAGTTGGTAAGCATTTGTTTTAGTTCTAGATCATTTGCGCTGATATGTCTGCTCCAGTATCCACCAGAAAACATAACTGAGTTGAACGGTCGATCTGTACAATTCTGTCAATGTGGCGAACATTCTGTTGGCCAGCAGAAGACCGCCCACTTAGTTTCCCAGTTGTTTAAAAGTACATAGAGGAGCACACTTGCGTGCCTGAGCACCAAGATTCATATGGTAAAAACATATGCCACTTGCAGGCTCTTTGTATTGCATTCAAGCATTGTGATGAGATCGACTTTGGCTTTGAAATTTATTGCATGGGCCCTGATTCGATCGACTGTATTGCCGTGAAGCATCAAGACTTGTCGAGAGTTCAGACACTTTCTTTGTCAATTCGGCCACTTTTTGTTCCAGGGATGAACTTGAAGGTGCAGCATTAGCAGCCCTGACATAAGCTGGAGTAATAAGTTCATTAATTTTGTCAGCCATTGCTGCTAAACGGGTTTGATCTTCATTGAAAGCAGCATGAATTATTTGTATGTTATTAGAGTTATTATTTGTATGAAAGCCATAGTGACTTCAACAAGTCATCACTGAAATGGTTTCCTGCCAGATCACACATTCATGTAAGCAAGTATGAGGGTCGCTGATCACCATGTTCAAGTCCTTATAGTAAAGTAAGTATTTTTGAAGATTCACTTTCTGATTATATTTCAATGAGCTGCTGTTTCAGTTTGGAATATTTGTCCTAGTCAGGTGGTTTAAGTATTAAGTCATGCACTGAATTCAGAATATCGGACTCGATTACTGCAACTACGTGGTTGAATTTTGTAGAATCCTCACTAATGTGAGCGAAGAAAATGTCTTCTCTGAGCGAACCCCATAGGATTATTTTCAAAGCGGTGGCTTCCCGCAAGCGTGTATTTGTGGCTCTGTGGAAAATTCGTCGGCATACTGATATAATTTCCCTTAATTATAACACTAACACAGCACAAATATCGTAGCATGAGAACCTTGATGTTTTACCATGATAACATAAATATTAACCATGCAGAAAAATTTATGTACGATCCACACACAAATAGACAGGGTCGCACTTCACACACAAAAATATTTTCCGAAATCATTTGAAAGAAAACCTATTTGGAAAAAAAAATTATGCATTATTTTGTATTGCGTCACACAAATCACCACTTCAACTCTGCTAAGGCACTTTCGAAGGAAAAAGGAATCACTCCTGTAGCACGATGGAAAAAATTCACTATTTCGAAACTGAGGAAGAATTTGCGTAGCACGTTGAGAAATTACTGATGTGCACATTTAGTGAAAATCACTATTGATCCATTTTCACAAGTTTTAATGATCGAAGAATTATTGCCGACTGCGAGCAGGTAAAGGACATATCACATGATGATTGCTGAGCTCTGCGATGATATACCGACTTTGAAAAAAAACCAAGCAAATATATCAATACTTCTAGAATAATGAAGGGGTATGTTGAGCATATGTGTATGTCCATATTCGTTGTTATTTTAGTCAGTTCAGAATGCTTGACACGTGGCTTGGGTAGTGAAAATCCATTGTCAGTAGGTGCTCAGTCGAAAGTAACACTTTTGGTGGTCCGTGTATTTAATGCATATAATTAAGAAAATAAGAGTAGACAATTCCTATAACAAAAGAATATATTAAGTACTAAATTACATTAATACATTGCAGAGATCAACGCAGAGCTCGGAACACAGTTCATGCTACCGTCGCGTACAGTTGTCTGACGAGAGCTGAGTGAGTAATGACGTCGCTTTGCTGCTCCGATTAAGAACTGGATTTTACATGTGGCGCCATCTCATGCATAGAAGTTGAAGTATCTGTCGGAATGCCACAGTACTACCACTAATTGTACTTACTTCAAGAAAAAACTTATTTTAATGATGGCAACTATAAAATAATTAATTAAAAGTGGTAGATCACAGACTACATTGCTACCCATAAGTGACTGTCTTAGAAAAGATTCACTTTACATGACAATTTATACATGGGCTTATATAACACATAATTGCATAAACAATCCATACATAAAAAAAAGGTACTAAATTCATTCTACAGCATAGCAAAGAATAACATGCTTACAGAACCACTATGATGCCTAGCAGATGGATTGATTAAAGTAGTAGTTGCATAAGGAGCAGGAACTGCGGGTAGTTCTTTCTTGTAGAATGAAGTCATGTTATGTGTATCCACTTCAGCATAGTCTGAAGTACCTCCACTGCTTAAAAAAGGGGGAAATAGGCTGTAAATAATAATTGAAACCAGCTACAACATAATGCCTATAACAGAGTATATGAAAATATAATGCAAGAATAATATACTTTACTATTGTCAAATTAACGATTAAAAATCAAATATACAATACAAAACCATTTGAGAACATATGAACTAATAAAAATATATTCCTGAATTTTAATATTTTCTTCTGAACCACTTTAAATTTAATAAAATTATTTCAGAAACTCATGAAATATCCAAAGCATGTATGAGAATGAAGCAATAAATAGAATGCACCAGTTTTTATTACTTTCTGGATCAAGATGGAAAAGTGCTATGAAATACCACATCCAGTCTACTGTCATATTATTAAAATAAAAATGAGCCTATTATCTGGTAATGTGTAAATACCTAAAAATGTCAGATTCAAAAATAACACAGCTTCCTTTCAAATCATTAAGATTGATAAAAATAGGTCTACTAGCTAATCAAGAAAATAAACAATTCAGAGACAGAAAAATTCTCACATCCTCCAAAAGTAGGAAACAATGTCTTCAGGATTAGTACTTACGAACTTGGAGCAGTAAAATGAACACAAAAAGGAACTTTCCTATGAACACAAAAAGGAACTTTCCAATGAACACAAAAAGGAATTGCTTTCAATGAACACAAAAAGGAGAGAAAGTTATTTAAACTAAAAAATATCAGTAACACTTTAGCTTCAGTCTGGGTCAGCACAAAAGCATGTGCAATCAGTATGGTCACACTAGGCGGCAAAACATTTAATGCTGGCTCTGTCCTTGGTCTCACATATTTCATTCAGATAATTTTTTCTTTTTTATAAAATAAAAATTATATTCAATGAACAATACATTCATTCAATGGTACCAAACAGTTCCAAATATCTGAGGGACAGTAAAAACTTTAAAAGTAGGCAAAGTTCAGAAAGATTTGATGAAATGAAGTATAATAAAATCTTAAGTTTAACCTCCCTCCATCCAAAATTATGGAGGTAAGATTTGTTTCAAATAAGCTGCTGACACTCTTCTTCAAAAAAGGAATATTTTATATTTTTAATAATAATTCTCTCACTTTGATACAAAATAAATATACATGCAGTATAATCTACAGAGCAAAACAGAAGGAAAAAGGAAAATAAGAACAAATTTATCTACTAAAAAGGTAATGTTTTAGGCATTAACCCGTTCAGGACCAGCGTCGCGCATACACGATGCAACAATTCTACTCCTACCAGCCCAGCGTTGCGTATATGCGAAGAGCTATGATCGATCTCTGCAGCCCAGCGTCGCATATACATAAGTTTAAAATGGAATGATTTATATGAATTTTTAAAAGCCAGTAGATGGAGCTAAATGGTAACTTTTTTCGCATGGGTTGATTCACATGGTATTTTACCTTCATGTACTGGCATTAGTTTCTGTTCTGCGCTTCTGGTTTTGATAAATTTATTGGTATAAAAAAACTAGGAATTACGGCTCTTTATCAGTGTGCCTGTGAATTAAAGGGGCACAGGTGTTTTTGTTTATTTCGTTACGGTTTTTTTTATTCCTTTTCTTCTTTACTTTATTCTGTTATTAGAATGTAAGTGCATCCAGCTCCTTGTTTTCATTTACGTTATTTGCTTTTTTTTGTTAGGAAAGTGCATTCAGATTACTATAGCAGGTATAACGTTGCCAAACTTCCGTGATGGAAAGACTCAAGACTAGTTGTCCATTTTTCTATTTATTTTGAAGTCAAAAGTCGTTAATTCGGACACCCATAATCCAGAATGATCTATAATCCGGACCTCAAAGCTACAAACTTTCTGTGCATGCGTCTTGTTGACCTTTACGGCTGCAAATACGCAAATACCTTTACGGCTGCAAATACGCGCGTGCGCAAAATACGTTTACGAATGTGCGTTTACTGTATAACGGACGGTATATGCTAAGCTAAAATTATCTAATTCAGTTAATGTTGCAGATTGCGTTGTTCCTTAATCTACGAATTGGATTCGGCTTATTATTTTTTGCAGACTGTTAGAGTAATTTTGTAAAAGTAAGCTTGAACTTTCGATTATGTCAAATAGAAATTTCTGATATGTATTTACTAATATGTAAAGGATCTACAAAGCGAAAGTATGTTTCAAAGTCCATTAAACAAAAAGTGGAACTGCTGCAAAAAATGGATAAAGGCATATCCTTTGTTTATCTAAACTTTAACGTTTGTTTATCTAAACTTTGTTTATCTTTAACGCAGCGGGGTGTGCGCAATGAATTGGAAGTTGATCTTCAGCACTATCCTTATCTTCAGGGCAGATGTTTTTATTTTACTTGGCTTATAATTCCTTACTAAATGTAGTATTTCATCTCGATGTATTCCATCTTTGATATGATTTAAATCAAATTCCTTGTCATTATAATTCGCTTCCGATAGCGAAGAAAGTAACAGAGGTTTTTGAAAACAAAAAAATTTCGATTGACAAATTAGCCGGTATTCTCGACATAGCAATTATAGGACTTGAACAGCGGAACTTTGTAACTGAACAAGAAATTATGTCTGTTTATAGAATTAAAGAGAATGTATTATCACATAAAAAACGAAGCAACTTAAACAACTTACATTGGAAATGTTTAATAAAGTAAACAAATAAATATTAAGCTTTTTTTTTTGTAAATTTTGATACCCTTTAGATCATAATTGTTCTTTATTTCATAAATTACGGTTTCATATTATTAATTTTATAATTTCTGCATGCCATATTACTAGATTTAAACTGATGATCTATAATCCGTAAAAATCGATAATCCGGAATCGAAGTCCCGATGAGTCTGGATTAACAACTTTTGACTGTATATATATTATGATATATAATGTATTTGCTTTACATATAATGTAATTAAATATAATGTATATATTGAATTGATCAGTAACGGATATCCGGCCAATGGGGGTCTTTCCTTGATCACTTTCCGGTCATCGTGGCAGTTACTGTTTTTCGATCTAAAAAACAGGAAGTTTTCTAATTTAAACATACTGTCACACAGGTTTGAGAATGAAATATTTCTGGGTGTCTTTCGAAGAAGTTTTGGGACATGTGTTCGGGTTACATTCAGTTTCATTCCATGAGCCATGGCCAAGACACCTAACTGAGATACCGTCTAATTGGAAGACATTTTCCAAAAATTGACATTGACGAAAAAGGTAATAAAGATAGGAAAAGATGCACTGAGTGCGCTAAACAGAAGGAAAAGCCAAAGCAAACAATGTATTTTGAATGCAAAATATGCAATGTAAGGCTGCATGTCGATCCTGGTTTTGAATTATTCCACACACACAGCAGAATTTTTAAACTGGAATTTAATTACCTACAGGTAATTCTTGCTTAGTTTTCCTTTTTTAATTTATTATTTGTAATTTTGCTTTCATGTTTATAGTATTTATTTCTGTGTGTATAGTTATGATTTTAGTATTTTGCCTGTTTAATTTATTTCTATTAATGTGATATTCTTTACATTAATACATATTAAAAACAAGTACATTAAATACGCAACTTCAAATATTGAAGTCATTATATCAAAATGCTGATTTTATATGATTTTTTTTTTAATTAGGCTTAACTGCTGAAAATGCACAGGCTGTTGGCGACGGTCCATTTCAGCGGATTTGGTCCCGTGATTGCACTTTGTTCTCCGTGCACTGGTCCTTAAGGGGTTAAGTACTTCTGGAAGGACAAAAGTGGAAATTTAATAATTAAGCTAAGTTGACAGGTTTAATGAAAATGGAAGACTCCAAAAAAATTCAATTCTCGGACTGTTTTTTTTTTTTTTTTTCTTTTTTTTTTTCTTTTGTAACTTTTAGAAGAAAATTAAGATATGGATTCAAATTTAGAGGACTGATAAACAGTAACAGAATGATTTAGATTAGAATTGATAATTATAATAAAAATAGCACTGTTGATTTAAAGAAGAATTAATTTCTTTTATAAAATTCTGTTCATTTCCTTCTACACAAGTAATGCATCTTTATACAGATACAAAAGATATTAAAATGAATATATAGGAGGGTGGGACATGTAGCAAACTCATTGTTAATAGGCACACATCATTATCCCGTCATCAAGATTCATAATATATGACATTAATAAAAAAAATTCATCTTTTTGTTTTTTACTGATTTTAAATTTTATTAAAAACCATTTTAAAAGAATAATATGATTACCTATTGCTAGAAACGTAATTATTTTTTAATTATTTAGAGAATAATCTGACTAATACCTTTCATTCAAACATAATATCCATTAGTACCTCCAATAGTACCATATAATACCTCCAATGCAATACAAAAGCACATAACAAAGAGCTGGCCCATGAGTAAACATAATACAAGATTACAAAAAAAAATTCTTTAAGACAAATAACTCATTTGAATTAAATAAAAAAAAATTTGCAAATCTTAAAAACTTAATTTCAATTTAAAATTCAAAAGTTATACACTATTTAGATTGTGCATATGATGAAGGGGTTAAGATTATATAAGCAAAAATATACTGAAAGAATTAATAATGCAAGTAACATAATCTACCAAAAACATCTAATATTAATAATTCTAATATTAATAGCCTGGACTGAAAAATGAAATTAACTTCATTTACATTTATCTTCCCCATAACAAAACTTTCATGCCACACTTAAAGTTTTTTATTTTTTTACACACCACAATAAAAGTCATTTTTATTTTTAAATAAAGTGTGCTACATAAATTTATCATCACACTTCCTTAATTTGAATTTTACCTTTCCAATCCTGCATTTTTCATGCAAATATTACTTTTAAATAGCAGAACAACAAGCAATCATTGAAAATGCACAGCAAGATAATAAATGTTTCAAATAAGCTGCTTCTATCAAATTAATTAAAATATACATTTAATTGTTCATTAATCAGAAATTGAAAAATAGTTGATGTGAATAGTTAAATTCTTTAAAAATGTACTAAATTTGCTTATGCACTAAATGAAAAAATCTATTTCCAAATCTAAAAGAAGTCAGCCTTGTAACTATTCTTACTTGTAATGCTTTTAATTCAATTTTAAAACTTAACTCTTTACCAGATTAAGAGCACTGAGTTAAGGGGGGAAATTAATAATAATTTCTAGATAAATATGATCAACAGGAAATGTAAAGATCATAATTATGCTTCTATATAACAAGAGAAATAGATTACATTTCTTGTTAAAACGTATTTAGTGAAAAGTGGCATTGTTATGTCAGCAAATCAATAACTATGGCCTCGGTTCAAAAAAATGATAGCACCTAATTCTATGACTGCTATATGCATGCATTTTTCAAATTATATCCTATATTCTAAATCAATCTCCAATTATTATTCCCAAGTTTTATTTGGACAAAAAAATGGGTTTAATTCCCAGTTAGTTCTTAATACTTAAAATATAAGTTAAGAAATATTGTTTTATATTTATTAATTTTTTATTCTCAGTCCTTGGTTAAGAGACAGAGCAATGATTTATCCACACCAAGTATAAATCACATACCTTATATAACTATGATCCACTCCAGGCATTACATTATTTAGTAGTTTATCATCAGGCAAGCAATTTTTTCCTGGAGGCACTGGATGCCATGCTTGATTAATCCAAAGGGTTTCACGAGCACTCACCCCAACGCTATAGAATGTTAACAGGAAAGAAAAGTTATAAGTGTTAAGAAAAGCAACCACCACCTTCAGTAATGAACATGCTGAGAAGTCAGGCCACAAGAAAAATTATTTCAGAATATTTTTAAAACATTAATACATATTTCTTGAAAATTTTAGTTTTAAAATCTTCTTCTCTGCAATGATAAGCTGAAAGTTTTGAATATAATTAATGTGAACTTTTTAAAACATAGCTAGCCCTCATTTGTGACTGTACTTTGTTCATAAAATTTCATGTATATAAATGGATTTGTATAAGATCACAAATGCTATCATTCACTTGATAAAAAACTGTCCAATTCATAGATCTTTAGATTAAGTACACATATGCCAAAAGGTACTCTTAAATAAATCAAGGATATTTAAAAGCGAACTGAAATCCAGGTAAATTGAAAAGATTTTATAATGTAAATCAATAGCTGATAAGGAAATGCCCAACAGCCAAATGGCAAGTGTTACATCTCTGAAATAATATACATAAAATAAATTTATATTAAAATAGTAAATGGTTCTTAACAGATGATAACTACATAAAATCTGTTAACAGAGGAATAACTAATAATAATACTTTAATAATAATAATACTTTTCTGCTCATAATAATTATAAATTTGCATATTTTTCATTTCTCAATGAAGATAGAAATTGGCAAAACATGGTAGAGTTTTTCCTTTTTTGGTCTTACTAAATTTTCACAGTACATATAAGGAAATTATTTCAGTGAAATGATCAGAAGCTCATTTAATCAATTTAAGCTACTGCTTAAAATAATTTCATCACAGTCACCCATCATTTAAAGTTTCACATATTATAATATATTAATGAGTCACTTATTAGCACAATAGGACAAATTAAAGGCTATATTAAGCATGTTACTGTTGCTCTGCAAAGACAGCAATCAAAAATACTAATATAACACATTTCACATGAAAAACATATAAATAAGCACTTACCGTACATCATCAGCTTTATGTACAGGGCCTAAGAAAAGGTTTAAAAAAAATTAGAATGTAAGAGTAATATAATGATTTGCAAAAACTGATAAAATGTACATTTAAATTATTTTAAATTAATGTGGCCTTAACAGACTGGCCACAATTTAATGCTATGTGACAAATATATAAACAAACTGTTTTAGAAGGGGGGGAAAAGGTTCAGGATTGCAAGTAATCTGGTTATATTTAAATGCTAAGAATGCAGCAGGTACGTATAGTAAATGCTGCAGATATAACAAAGAACAATTAAAGTATCTCTGCTATTAGCTATAGAAATGGTGATATGAAAAGATAACAACACAGTAAAATTTCTAATACACGAAAGCTCATAATACTTAAAATCTAAAGTTTTAAAACATCAAGCAAAGCAATATATAATGATGGATTTTGTTAAACATGAAATATATTATGAGTTGTAAAAAAAGAAATTTGATTACTTACCAGATAAATGAGCTTGAAGTCCTTTTTTCCAAGCTTTTCTCCTCTTAAAGAACAATACAATGAAGAAAATAGACAAGAGTATGAATATGATAACACCAATAACAGCTATAAACCATGGCTGTCTCACTATATCACCTATTTCAGATACAACAGATGTTGGTTTTTCACCAACTGAGGTTACGGCTCCATATTCTATAGTAGATAGATGAGTGTCAATAATTTAGAATGTAAAGTAATTAATGAAATACACACACACACACAAAAAAAAAAAAAAAAAAAAAAAAAAGCTATAAAAATCATTACTGAATTTTTTTTTCCAATTCATTAACTAAAGAACAAAAAAACATTCCTGTAAAAAAAATAAATAAATAAATAAAGTAAATCTGTATATTGGTTGCCTGCAGTTTTAAATGATGACGTTTTGTATGAAATATTGTATAATATTAATACCACTGCAGTTATTTTGTATTCACAATCACACTTTGATAAGCAAAAAGAGATAAAAGTTAAATTTATTGAATAAACATTAATTTTGAATTCTATATTCAGTTATAATTACTGCATTTTTAATTCAGTAACCTACTCACAAAACTAGATACCTTGATGGATACATCTTATTATTTAAGTACTCAATTATTAATATTCAATACTATTTATTTACATTATACTCTATGGAAGGAAGATTTTACAATGATTTACTTCTTTCTTTCTCACTCAGATTATTGCATTCTAATGTATACAAAAGTATTTAACTATATATTAAAACATAATTTAAGTACAGTTTGACAGACAGAAATATTATAACTTTATTGACTCCTTAAAAAGACAAAATATCCTACAGTGATTTAATACACAACCACTGCAAGTTTTATATTTTTGGAATGTTATTGCCTATTACATTATCAATAAAGACATTCAGAACTTACTAAATGGGGGGAGGAAAGATATTCATATTTTTAGTGTTTGCCCAGAAAGTTTTTTTTTTAACACTCTTACTGAATTCACAGTCTATCTAGTTTTATTATTAAACATTATTTTCTTTGCACTTGTGCCATACACAATTCAACAGCAAAATTACAAAAAAATTAAAAGCAGCATATGTGCATACATTTAGAAGAACTTGCAGTCTGCAAGTCTGCTGTTGCATTCACTCCTGCTAACACCCCCTTTTTTGTATGTGTGTGTCTTTTTAGCTTTATTATTAAGCACTGCTTTCTTTGCACTTATACCATATAGAATTCAACAACAAAATGACAAAAATTTTAACAGCAGCATAGCAACATAAGTTTAGAATTGATAATTAAATGTCAGCATACATTTTTCTTTTTTTTTTTTTTTTCCCCAATCTCTTCTCAATTCATCATATCAGTGTTCAGTTTTCTTAGTAAGATGGCTTGCAGAACTTTTTTTTCTTTTTTATTATTAACATTTTATTGCATTAATAATAAACAGACAAACTTATTAACAATTTGTGTGTTAACTTTATTTGTTAAATATCATGTTCTTTGCACTTAAGCAACATAAAATTCAATTTGGCAAAATCACTAAATATTTAAAAACAACATATCTTTAGAATTTCTGACAGTCTCGAGCACTGGAAATAAAAATGTTTTATTCTGTAGACTGTTGCCCCTGCTTGCTTTTAAATTTTTGGATTTGTTAATCAAAAATTCATTAAACTTTTGTAATATGAAATAGATTAAAAAATAAATATAAAATTCAAATTTCGGGGTTCCAGGTGCATATAGTTTGGTGGAGGACTACACTACTCAAAATTTGGTGGTGACATTAGGTACCAACTTTTTTTATTTCCATAATGTGAGAAACATGAATATATTTATTCAGATTCTACATTATTTAATTTTTTTAATATAATGAATGGCAATAACATTTGGTGGCAACAATTTGAAAAGTGATATACTGTTTATAGTGATTCAATACAAAATCTCGTTACGAGATTAAAGTCTATTTGGGCTAATGCTCTTTATGGGCTAAAAAGATATTTATGTTTAGTGCATCATAATGGGCTAATGGCAGATTAGTTCACAAATTATTATCTATATTATAATGCATCTTCCCCTTCAGTCTCCCTAAATAATAAATTACTAATATTGAACTGCTTTTGCAAGGCATTAACATTTTATATTACAAATCAAGAAAATAGGAACTGGGAAATGATTACAAGCAAACTAATTAACTACCTTTAATTAAATTATTAATAAACTAATCAGCTATAAATTAATTTCTGAATGTTCTCGAATTCATACAATTTTTAACAGCATGGGAGTTGCAGAACTAACTGACAGCATAAGATATGAGATTACTGAACAGCCTTCTGCACCATAAATATTACAATTAGGAACTGAATCAAAACCCCGTTGTTTACGTTAATACACATGACAGATTAAAATACCGTGTGACCTTTAAATTAAATAATGATTATGTAGCTCAAGAACTTTTATATTATCTTCGGTAACCATTTAATATAAATAATATTAAGGATTTCAAATGCTGTGGATATGTATTTTTCAAAATATACTAATTTTCAAATTTTCTTCCCCCTTCCTCTTCCAAATCCAGTTTTTTGAAATCCAGCACAAAATACAAAATTAATCAAAGCAAGTTGCCAGAAAATGAAGCAGTGGCGTAGCTAGGGTGGGGCAAGGGGGGACATCTGTCCCTGGGCACAGCATCCAGGGGGTGCCAAATTAATGCTACAAAATCTTTTAAGGAAATGTATTCCATTCTTGGCACACAAAAAGGGGCGCAAATTCTTCAGTTGACCCTGGGCGCTGGAAACTCTAGCTACGCCCCTGAAATGAAGTTTGGTCTTTTGCTTACTCACATAAAAAGAAAAAAATTAATACGTGCTTGTAAATTTTAAATGTTTATATAAAAAATCCTGTAACTAACATAAAAGTTAGAAAATACATTTTAAACATAAATACTATTTTTTAATGCTTTTGTGAAAGAGAATTAAAAGGTTCTTACTGTTTTCAGAACCCAAAATGACAAAACCAAAATCGTTGATATGAAAGCAATCTAGATTTAAAAATAAGTACAAAGAAATTGCTGTTGTTTCATTTACCAATTTTGGGATGAATTGATGGAGAGAAAGGTCCCATTCCAGATGATGTGAGAGCAGCAACTGTAATGTCATATACAGAACCATAAGTCAGATTTGTAAGAGTAATGGACGTTGTTGTTGCATTAGTTGTTAAATGCGAATGCAGATGTAAAGAACTATCCAGAATTCTTACCTAAAAGATTCAAAGAAAAGTATGTAATAATTACATGACAAATCGAAAAACACACACAAATATATATAAGTAAATATAGATATATGATGATAATGAAAAAGAAAGTAAATGCCACAGTAAGAATAACTCATTGTATTTCTTCCAGCAAGATGATTAATGTTAGAAAATAAAAATGTCTAATAATGGGAAAACTAACAGAAATTTAAAATACATATACCTATTATAAAAATAAAAAAAAAAAACTATTACCTATTTCATATAGCTAAGATGAAAGAAAAAAACTATTATATTTTTAACCTGCACTATCAGTGATTATTTAAAATACTATTTTATTGTTTCTTAAGCCATTTACAGCACAAAGAGGCATTAGCCCAGAAAGGCTATTAGTCTTGATATGGCATTTTACATTGAATGACTTAAATGCAATGTATCACTTTTCAAACTGTTGCCACCTTATATTATTGTCCTGTATTATATTTAACTAAATAATGAAGAATTTGCCTGAATATATGTATGATTCTCACATAATGTAAAAACAACAGTACCTAGAATCATCAAATTGTTATGTCGCGAATTTCAATTACTAATATGTGTTTTAAGTTATTATTATTCTAATATTTTTATTTGTATTCATGTGTATTTTAATCTGGAAAAAAAAGTATTCTTAAGCTCTTAAGGTTTTATTTAACTTGTTGTTCTTGAGTAGGAATTGTAACAAAGGCGAGAGACGGTTGCGAGGACACACATCTGGTTTATGGCCTTTTCTTTGGATCTTGGATCATATCTTTACTGCTGGCTTTAGCTACTAGGAGCTCTTACCAGTATATTATCATTTTACCATAGGCCATAAAGTTAAAAATTTAAGAGGTGTATTTAAAATACACCGCGCCCGAAGGCGAGATCAATAAATGAGAGAACTCATAAATAAGTTTTGCTAAGTTGCATATCATGGCATAGCATGGTGATTATATACGTAAATGGTGGCGAGAAGCGAAATGAAATTCTAAGCTTCTGCGTGAGTCAAGAAGAGCAGGAGCACGTGATCAGCGTCCGGCATTTAGATTGGTCGAGGAGTCAGAGTTCGAAAAATGAAGTTTTTTGTAGTTTTTTTGGCAATAAATAAAGTTCGAACATAGTAAAAGCAACATCTATTTGTGAATTTAGAGTCTTATGTCTTTTGAAACACTTGAAAATCTTCTAAACTTGCGATATGATCATTAAATGAATAGGAAACTGTAAAAGGTGAAAATGAGGTCAAGTAGCTCACTAGGGCTAATGAGTGAGAGTAAGCACTTGGTGTTACCACGAACTTTGATTTTAAAACACACGAACGAAATATTAAAAATAAAAGTAAACCTCTTGGTTAAATAAGTAGTAAAACGAAGAATTCATCGATGAAAAATAAAGTCCTAATTTTGCAAAGTTCATCTTTCTTGAATAGTAACTGCAAAGGAATAGTAATTTTTTTTTTTTTTTTTTTTTTTTATATATACATATATACACTACCACCACTTAGAATTGTGGTGGATCGTTCGAGGTCTTTTCACTACGTTCTCAATAGTAGGGTCATAGTCTGTAAGCGATTTAATAGCTCTTCATAGGGAGAATTTCTCATATCTTCAAAGAAGTTGTGCAGAAATTAGGATTTGGTCGTGAATTGGATTGATATCCAGGTCTTTGTGAATTTGAGAATTTCGCACGAACCAGGGTGCGTTCACTATGCTATGTAAGATTTTGTTTTGGAGTACATTTAATTTTTGTCTGTCTATTTTTCGGGCAGTAGCCCAGGCTGGAACTGCATAGAGGATTATTGGTCGAATAAGTGAGATGTAGATATTTTTCTTGGTACGGAGGCTTAACTTAGAGTTTCTTCCAATGAATGAGTAGAGAGCAATGAAAGCAGCGTAGCCTTATTTGTAACATATTTGAATATGATCTTTGAAATTTAGGGTTTTGTCAATATAGACACCTAAATATTTATAGGAGTTGGCAACAGGAATATCTTGGTTATTGAGTCGGGATATTTATATTCACTGGGATATTTTTTTCTGTATCTGCGATAGAGAACTACGCAGCATTTATCAGTATTTAGTTTGATTTTCCAGTCTTGACAAAATTTGTTAATAATGTTGACTTGGAGCTGAAGTTTCTCTAAAGCATTATTTGGACTTCGTGAACTGGTGAGGATGACTGTGTCGTCGGCATATTTGAGTATATTAGAATGAAAAGGTAGAGGCATATCATTTATGGATATTGTAAAAGCTTCGGTCCTAAAACACTGCCTTGAGCTACTCCACTGTAAATCACTTTTTTTGGCAGAGAGATTGCTTCACCACAGCGCACTTGAAAAGTACGACGTTTAAAATAAGAATGCATAAGCTTCATAAAGCTGTTTGGTAAAAGGAAGTTAGATAGCTTTTGAAGTAAGCCAGCATGCCACACTCGATCGAAAGCTTTTTCGAAATCGAGGAAGCATGCCGCTACTCCGTTCTTTTTTGTAAATTCTTGGGCAATAAATTCAACTAAATTTAAGTATTTGATGTGTAGTACTGTGGCCTTTGCGGAATCCAAATTGATGCTTGTCTATTAGATTAAGGCGTTCTAGATGATTGGTGAGCCGAGCACTAAGTACTCATTCAAAAACTTTTCCAAGCGGCTGGCAGAAGACTGATGGGTCTGTAATTATTTGCTAGCTTTGGATCTTCTTTCCTGGTTTCGGGATCGTAACAATGATCGAATGTTTCCACTGCGATGGAAAGTAGCTGAGTCTAATACACGCATTAGAAATATTTGTAATTAAACTATGCATCTCTAGGTAAAGCTTGCAACGCTTCAAGGAGAAATCATGTCATATCCCTTTAGCTTTGCGCTTCTTTAATTTTTTAATAATTTGCTGAACTTCGTTTGAAGATGCAGGCGTAAAAAAATTAATGCTGGGACTGTTGAGGATGCTATTGACAGAGTAATTAATATCTTTTTCGTGATGGCCTTTTCAATAACAATGTCGCCCTTTTAGCTCATGCGTGTGAAATGGAAGTTGTTTTCCTGTCGCTTTGTAAGTTTGCAGTTTTATTACTTCAAGACAGTGGGGGTGGCTGGTAATTGGATTTTCGTAAAAGCTTAGTTTCACTTGTTAGTTGGGGGGTCTATTTTTTTTTCTCACGTTATGTGAGTGCAGATGTTTTTCGGATTGCATTGTCAGATTTTCTGGTGTTTGATTCGTCATGGGTGTGTCATTTTCTCAATTTAGATAACTTAAAATTCCGGGATTGGTAAGATTTAATTTTATGATTTTTTTTAAAGCCTATGAACTCACAGAGGCGGAGAAACCGAGATTTCCTGGGTGCTTGCACCAGGCTAGAGTTCATTCTGATTCTGATTTTCAAGAAGAGTAAGAGGAGAAAAAGTGGGGGCTTGACCCTTCGGGTCTTGCTTCTCGCGAGCCGCGTGAACAGCCGGCAGAGGGTATGATTTTTCTCTCGGCTTTTAGCTGGTGAGAATTTGCGTTGGTATAAGGCATAGAGCTCAGCAGAAGAATTTCGATTTCTCTTATCCCAAGAATTGTACGGCAGATTCTCTTGGTGATCCTGACATCCTGATGCGGTATTCCTGTTTTTTTACCGGCTTTGACTTCCTAATTAGATTTTTGTTACAAAGGGCTCTAACGCTTATGGTGAGTTTTGGGGCTTCCAGAATGAAAGAGACTCGTGTAGGACCCTTCTAAGGTGTGCGTTGCTGTTTATTCTGTCTGTGCCAGCTGCGTCGATTTTTTCTTTCATCATTCCATGCTCTGAAATTTATTTATTGTAAGGACAGCTTCAGTGGTGTTGCAACCAAGTCATCTTTAAAATTCGCCAGAACTGTCTGCCTCCATTAACGATGATTTTGTGAATAAAGGACAGCAGGAATAATGTGGTGCTCAAGTAAACTTTGGATGCTGGACGATCTGTGGAGCTGTCAAATCACCTTATTAAACCAGTATACGAAGGTATTCCCGAGTAAAGTGTGTGTTGCGGTTTGGACTTCACCCTGTGAGTGATTTGTTTTTTTTTCTATTGGTTTTACTTCAATAATTATCTTAATAAGAGTCGTCATTTTAATGTTTGTTGAAATTTGAGCAATTACTTAAATTAATTAATCGATGTGGAAATTATCAGTGTTCTTAAAGTGAATTACCATGATAAATACTTAAGTTAGTAAGATGAAAATGGGGAGAAAATACTAGTGTACACTTATGATACAGTAGAATTTGATAATATTAATCTTAATTAATATAAGCTGTAATTTGGTGTAGTATTATGTGTTATTTTGCTTAGAAAAAATATGTATTACTGATCAGTTTCCATTATTTAATTATATAATATATATTCAAGAATTTAATAAATGTGTGTTTAAAATTTAATTGCATTGTGTATTTATGTAGCGTATAATTTACTGTGGTCTGTCATGTCCCTCCATTTGTTTGAGCCGGGAGGCTTTTAAGAAACATGGAGTTTAATTGAATTTGGAGTTATTGATATTTCCTTTTACATAGGTTACTCACAACGCAAAACTTAAAAGTTAAATTGTACTATACCACTATACGATTGATTGATAGATACGATATACGATTGATTGATAGATTTACTATACAAATATTTTTAAGAATGTCGAAATGATATATGAATATTATGAAATAGATTCTGAATTAGTTTTTGAATGTATTTGTTATTTGATTGATTTTTTTGTTAATTTTGTCAGGCACCATGAATCCAAGTTTAAATTTTAAAGGTATTTAAACACCAAATAAAAATTTTCTATATAAAATTGGTGCCGTGACCAGGATGACTGGCAGACCAACACATAAAAATTTTCTATTTAACAAAATTTTGAATAGTCTTCCACCTGAACATGGGCACCTGGAAGACCAAAATTGGAATTTCGAATTCCTTTTATTGTCTATTTCATATTATGTAAAACTAATGAATTTTTTATAAAAATACTCAACAATTTCAAACCAAACAGTGGCAACACTGTACGGAATAAAACATTTTTATCTCCAGTGGTGGAGACTGCCTATCGGAAATTCTAAAGGTTTGTTGTTTTTACATATTTTTAGTCCAAAGTGGTGTTAGCCCAAATGCTCTCAAAATGTGTATGTGCTTGTAAATGGGGGTGAGGAAATCATTTGAGCATAAAATAAAATCTTTAGATCAGATTTTATTTTATTTTATTTACTTATTTATTTTTGGCTACTTATAAACACATATTAATAAATTTTCAAAAGCAGCATTGAATACCGTAAAGAACAAACAATAAAAATTATCACTGTTATAGCTTACAATGATAATATAATATTTATTTTATAGATGAAAAATGTAAGGTAAATGTAAAGTATGCAAGGTACTTATATATAGATGCAACTACCTCAGTGCTATCTATTGAATAATTTTTTATGGAAGCAAAATGTGAAAATTACATATCAGGTGTGAGGTAGTGATTTGTGCGATTCTTTTTTAAAGATTATCAAACAACTGGTACTTATCAAACGTCAGCAACCATTAATAACATATCAAAAGAAAACACACTTTAGCACTTTTAAGTGAAAATTTTAATTATAAATTCAGTATTATATAACATATTAAAAAATAAAATACATAGTTTCTGAAGTTCTTCGTTAACTTCTTTTTATTTTTCTTATCTGCATGTACCTAACTATCTGTTTTCACTTAAAAAAACATCAGAGAACTACACAAATTAGGCATCATTCATAACCTTGGCACTGTGCACCAGCTATCTATCGACCACATCCCATTAATGTTCCTTTTAACCATTTTGCAGCAAAATACATTTCTGCAGAAATTTTACCACAGTTTCTTCCATTGCTGACAAATCCACAGGCACATATTTAAAAAATTGATCTTTATATAGTGATTGTATAAACAGTATGACAGTACATATAAACAATATGACAAATTACAAAACTCAAAATGTTCTATCTTCTCTGAACTTACTGAATATCCTTGCAATAAGCCATTGCGATGCTGAGGAGGAGGAGGGGACCATGAGAGACTCGCACTGTTATGACCATTAACCCAAAGTTTTAAACTGCCTGGTGGTGCAGAAGGAACTGAAGTATAAGAAAAGATATAAAACAATGAGCTGACACAGTAAATTTAAAAAAAAAAAAAACAATGAAAATTAAAACTATCTATTACATAATCATGCAATGCAATCAGTCAATTTAGAATAATCTCTCATTCAAAAGATTTAAATGTGATATAGCAAACATTTTTTTAATATTTATATTTCATTTTGTAATCAATATTCGCTGATATAAAAATTGTTAAAATATGTTCAAGGTCTTCAAGAATAAATGATGAGGTTTCATGAGTTCCCTGGGAAATATGCATTAAGTTAAATGGACCAAAAATACTTTATTTAGTCACACCAAAAGGTTATGTAAATGTGCTTTTATTGCAATAAATGTTCCAATGGATAATAAATGCTCATCTTTGTCTGGTCCACTTAGTGAATTGTACATTAGTTGAATCACTGATTTCCAGAATGGTGGATTATAAGCCTTATGGCTCGAAAGAAATCTTCATCTGAAAACATTAGATATATTCCAATGAGATTAGTCAGAAATGAGGTTAGAATGATAAAACTGATAATTTTGACACCTCAAGAAGAGAATCACCTAAACAATACAAATGTTATAAAAGATATTTTTGTTAAAGTATGCACACAAAACAAAATTACTATGACAGCTACTATGCTGTTAATTGTGCACTCAGTGAAACTTAATAACTTTGTTCATCATCATTTGGAGTACTTCACCAAAGACATCATCAAACTTCCATCATGTTTTCTTACAAACTTTATAACTAATCATAATATAAATTTTTTTTATTATTATTATTTGGTCTCAAACAATTGCCTTTTCAAACAATTCTTAAAGATATGAGAAACAATAAAACATCAATTTAGAAAAACCAAAAATAGTTTTATTATATATTAAAATTAACAGATATAAGATACTTAACAGATATTAAAATTTTTAGAAATTAAATATCTTTATACATACCATCTTCTAATGTTTGAGCAATTTTTGAGTTACTTGGTGGACCTTCAATACCCTTGTAAAATGGAACTAAAAAGAATTCATATTTTGTGAACTTCTTCAAATCTGACAGAACGTATGATGAAGATCCTCCATTCAATACAGTAATTATGTTGTACTTCTGAGATCCACCACTTAAGTCCCGAAATCTCATATAAAAGCCTTCAATATACCCTGAAGCACCTTGAACCTGAAAAATTAATCTTCTAAATTAAAACCACTAAAGAATATATGCAATCACTTGATGGATCTAAGACCTAAAGATAGATATACAATCAATTCTCCATGTATGTACTCATGATAATTGCAATAAAAGCAGTCTACATAGAGAAACAGATAAATATTTATAATTTTAAAAATGTGGATATTTTATTATAGCAAGCTTTCTCGCAGATGTCTCTAATCCATAAGGGCCAAATATCTCTAACCATCTATAAAGGCCAGAAAGTTTTAAGCTCCACTATGCTTTGCAAGAATCATGTACTATGCATGCATATTCCAAAATTTGAGGAGGGGGTAATGCATATCCAGTGTGATTTTCAGCTTAAGATAGCTGAGAGAGTTTCAGCATAACTGAGACAGAAAAAGTACAAATTTTTGTTTTCAGTCAATAACAGGAAATACCTTATAAATGTGAAAGCACTGTCTTCTACTTGAAAAGCTGCGAGTTTAGGAACTGATTGTTAATAAGAAATGGCTATAAAAATAAGTTCAATTAACATTAATCGGTTATTTGTTGTTTCAATCACATTTATCTGATCTAAACATTCTATCGTGGCCAGCTCCATGGCAGCATAGAGCCAGCAAGCTTTCAAAGGCCACTGCCAGATAAATTGTTCTTACAACTGATAAATAAATAAATATTTTGATTAAAATTATCAAAATAACTTAATTTACATGAGAAAAGCCACTGTACTGATTGCCTATGGCTCCAAAAATGCTGCACTCTTTTAATATGTTCAACATTTATCAATTTATGATAAAATTATATATGCAATCTAAATGCATGATTCCCATGTTTAAATAATTATAGCAAAACACGCAAGAGCTATATACCTTGGAGAAGGAATACCTTCATAAAGTTACACTTTTTAAGGAAACTAGCTTGTATATAGATTATATACAGGGAAACATGACTGGCATGTAAATTTTGAATAAATATGGAACAATAAAAGATTGCCTATTTTTCAAAACAGCATAAAAATTATCTGGCTATTATGATTCCAAATACATTACAACCTTTCCTTACACAATCAGTTACAGTACAGAATAAGATTATTTATTTAACAGAAAGATATAGTAAAAGACTATTTAAAAATATAAAATCTTCTCAAACCTTCCACAGCATTTTCACTGAGGTTGAGCTCATTGGAATCACATCTTGTAAAAATGTAACAGCATCATTTAGACGATTGCGAGCTTCATCAAGATCATAATTAGGGAGGATACCAGATGAAAAGCCTAGTCCCCCAAAAAGAAAAACTATTTTGGATTTTTGAAATTCCTTAATTTATTCAAAATGAATTAACATTAAACATTTAACAAATAAAAGAACTGCAGATAAAATGTTTATAAAATTTATGTATTAATTACTATCTATTCATTATAAAAATTAATATATATTTCTCTAACTTATTATATGTACTATATATTTCTAAAGTTGTACAAAATAATATAAAAAAATCTGCTACTGATTATTCTGGAGGGGGAGGTTAAAAGAAAACAAGCATCAAACTGTTTACTTACCTAAAGTATGTACAATGTCAGATATTTCACTAGGTAAACCAAGTCCATGTGAGTTTTCTGCTCTAATTAGGAATGCATATTTTGTATCAGGTCTGAGATTGTTGATAGTGTATGACTCTTTTGGCACTCTATGGGCAACTACTACCCATCCACTTTGAAGATCGCTGCTGTAATATTCAACTAAAAAATAAAAAAAAATCCAATATAATATTCATTCTAATTCAACAAAAGCTAATAAAAATCAAAGTCATATCATGAAAATAATAAAATTAACTATCAGATATTTTATAACTCTTGATAGAACTAATAAATAAGGAAACAAGCACATTAAGCCACTTTCTTTGTGCTGCTGATGACTATGACCATGTTCTATCACTCACCATTTTACTGTAAATCATAAAACTCTTTTCACACTACATTACTGCTACTAAAAATTAAGTACATCTGCCTGCATTTGCTACAGGAATCTTCCTCTTTGATGAAATTGACCTGGTTTTATTTGCTATGAAACATACTTTTAAGTGATTTATAAATTATTTAAGTTATATGGAATAGGTAACACAGATACTCATGAATTTTTGAGAGGATTTTGGACCCCATTCACTAAGAAAGTGATTTTGAATTGCAATAAAAAAAATTCCTCCCCCCATTAATAAGCGCAGATGTACAAAGTGCAAAAAAAGGGGGTTGACAGTTCTATATCTCCCTTTCTACCGGGCTGATTGACGAAACTCAAAATGCATTTTTCATGTCTCGAAAGCGCGACTTAGGATATATATTAGATTTATATATAGCATTATTCTAACACAGGTATTTTGACACAAAATCGGACTTTTTCTGAAATAACATACCAATTTGGTTTCTATATTACGATTCTGCGATTCAAATTATTCCAGACTGCCAAGTTTTGTAAAAATCACATGAGTAGTTTTTAAAAAATTAGCTCTCAAAATTTTAGCTCCTCAATGTTAATTAAAATTGGTATATATTTATTAATATCTCTTTTTTTTTATTAAACTTTTTAATTCTCCCTTTCGCATTTTGAAATTTAGGTTCATTCCAAATAAAATTCACCCATTTTTCATGATTTATTTTTAAATTTCTATTTTTAAATAATTTTTATAAATTTTTCAAAAATATTTTGAATTATAACCTATAAAATTTTTATCATCATCTTAAAGTAGGTGTATATTTAAGCATACCTGCAAAAAATTAAGATTTATTTATTCAAAATTTTCTAACATATACACAAATTTACATGTTTTCACTTTTCGAAATTTGGCATCTTTTTATTGAGCGATAATAACACCAAATGTGGTTTATGGATTTTGTTACAGTGAATTGCCACAGCTATTTTTAATCTTAAATTTCAAATAGATTTTTACGGAGAATTATATGATTTTTTTCCTTTAATGATGCATAATAAATATTTATTAATACTATATAATTTTTTTTAAATTATTGATGATATTATTCAAAATCTTAACTTTTTCTTTAATTTCTTTCTTTCTCCCCTCCCCCTTTTTTTAAAATATTTGTAAGAGTAAATTTTAACCTTCGCCGTGTTATCGTCTGCTACTTTACTTTAACTGCATTTAAATTGAAGCGTCTAAAACTGAGAAAGTTCATTCGATGTTTATTTTCACAATGCTTTTAAGCGAACAGGACGTTGACAGTTTGGGTAATGTCCCTGCTTTATAAAATATATATAAGTTTTTACATTAATCCTCTTGGAAAGAATGTTTTTAGTAGTAATTTTCTCTCATGTTGTAAACTGTATAAAAAACATGTTCTTTAACCTGGCATTACTTGTGCAGGGTATGAGGTACCCACCTCACTGAATTTTTTAATGTTCCTTCCTAACCTTTTGGGGGAAATAGATGAGTCTTCGTATATCTGGCTCTAAGGTAATAACCTTAAATGAAAGAAAACCTGGGATATTGTCCGATTTCATAATTTTTTTTTTTTTTTTTTTTTTAAGTGCTTTCAACTTAGCCATCTTAACAATCAATATTCAGTCGCTGATAAATAGAGAATAAATACATAAATCATAACATATCTAAAGATAACTGGTAATCCTATGTTTTGGTAGCCTTTGTATCCCCCCTTCCGCAATTTACTTAATTTTACCTTTTACATCTAACCATATTTGCTATGAAAACTTTTTTGCTTACTTTTCTTTCAAGAAATCCACAGGACACTTGAAATTGTTTGCCATTTTATCACATGGAAAATTTTATTTACGGCTACTTACAATTCATTTGTTTAAGGAGGTTTTTTTGTCATTGCCATTAAATCTCAATCAAAAAATCTGCAAAGAGGTAAGAAAAACAATAAACATAAAATGAAAAAGCTGTGCCCTCTCGTGGCCACCAACATGAAACTAACACTTCAGAAGCACATATTTCCAAACTGACTTTAAGACAAAAAATATCACAGTTTGTCTGTATGAAACTTTGAAACTTGCAATGCCTTTAAAGAAATGCATACACAAACCGTAATACTGCTTCTCAAAACTTAAAAATTGGTATGCATATGGTACATTTTCAAAATTTAGCAACTTCTGTTAAGGTGGTCGCACCAACATGTGATTGCTATGTATCATGTTTAAATTAGTGCTATATTTTTTCAAAATATATAAAAATGTACATGAAAATATGTATTATGGATGCAATTTTCAACAACACATTGATTTTATAAATTTAACTTCCTTGACATAATCCATAATTCATTTAAAATCTTAAAAAAACAAATTTATATTAATAAATAATAATTCATAAATAAAACTATATTAAATAACATGAAGTGGTGACTACTTTAGCAGTTCATGTTATAGTAGCTTATATTTATTTAACTAGCATTTAATCTAAAATATAAAAACATGCTTATTCTACACTTTTTTATGACATTTATCTATTATTTGTACAACTTTACTAATTCATATATTTAGTAACTTTTAATTCATGCTCAACATTTTTCATTTAATTACTTGAGAAATTTTACTTTTTAAATGTTTATGAATTCTTTACTGATAGCCATGAGTAAAAGATAATGTTATACAGCTGTCCATAAAAGAAATAATAATTCAGAATTTTTTTTGACTCATAAATTCTTTCTCAATTTACAATGAAAATGAATATATAAATCATGGAAGTATTCTCATATAGAAATACTATTGCATTTCATGGAGTTTGTGGATTTGGAGTAATTGATGATTACGATAAATAATCAAAACACAATTTATTTGCCAGTATTATACAGGACAGTTCCAAAGACACATTCACAGTCATTGAAAACTATAATAAACACACTGAAACAATCAGCAGCACAGCCTTCAGGATATAATGGTGAAGATATCTTCATGCCAAAGGGCTAAAGTACAGCTCCCAGTTAGTCGATTGCTCTCAAGCCAATATCTGAACTCAAGACACTACTACACTACTGAATCAAAATACTACTTTCTCCACATACAGGCAGGGTATGTATAACCTAACTTCAGGAACATTCCAGAGGAAAACTGCTAAAAATGCATTCTAGAATGTTCTTGCTCTGTCTACAGCACATCCCCAATTGTTCGCAAATATCGCAAAATGGACAATTTAGTGCTGAATCTCACTTTCTGACAACCCTAGAGAAATTATCTTACTGCAGCTTACAGCAGTTGTATATTTTGCATGAATATTAAAATTACATTTTACCTACATAAAAAGTTAATATATGATAATCATACCTGTATATCCAATCAAAGGCGAGGCACCCGGTTTTGCATTTTTCTTCCATGATAACGTAACAGATGTTTCAGAAACATTTGAAGCTACAGGTTTAGAAGGTGGTCCTGGGAAATTAACGGGGTCAGGCATTCTATGAAAAATGACATTTGGATTCCTAGGAGCTAAAAATTTAAAGTGCACAAAATTATGTTATTTGAAAGAAAATTCTCATGCTAAAAAATTATGTTTTACAACTTTTTGAAATTTTCATAACTTTGAAAATTAGAAAATAGTTTATATTAAAAATTTATTTAAATTAAAATAGCTATTACAAATTTCTTATTCTTAGATTTATTTTTTTTATTCTTAGGCATTAATTAAATTTACTTTAATAGAATGTTTGTAGAAATAACCCTATTAAATGCAATAATTTAGTTCAGCATCAGGTCAAATAAGAAATAAATTGAGATTTCACAGTTTTAAAGTATTTCAACTTTAAACTTTCATCAAATGATACAGTAAAAAACTGCTTAAATTTAATCATCTAACTGAAATAAAATTTAAAAAACAAAATAAATAGCTATGCAATCATTAAAACTTTTTTAATTAAGAATTTGGAAAAGTAAGACACTAGTAAAACAATCATGATTACAAAATAAATTTAATTGCAAATGTACTTATTTAGAAAACTCACATTCAACTGTAAGCGTAGCACTCCATGAAGTTTCACCACTTTCACTAGATGCTGTGCAGGTATATACACCAGTATCTTCAGGCTGCAAACCTGAAAAGATAGATATTTAATTGTTTTACTTGTTTTTCAATACATTACAGCATAAAATAAAATATAAAAAGAATATATCATGGTACAAGAAATAAAAATGATAACTTCATCTGCATACAACCCAATCTCGCTTAAAATTTTCAATGCTATGTTTTGGAATTTATGTGTTTCCTGAAAGAAACTGAATGCACATTACTAAAGTTTTAAATGATAAAACACTTGAATTGATAATCCTGCATTTTTATATATTCAGCTTTGTGGGGGGGGGGGTTAAAATAAAATAAAAATTTGCCTTTTTTTGCTCTCATGAAGGTATCATTCTGTTACAAATTATTACAATAAGATTACCATTTATTCATTGATAATAAAATAGAACAAAGCAGCATTAATACAATCAAGTTCAATAATACAATCAAGTTTTGCAGCATTAATACAATCAAGTTCAGCTGTTATATTTTCTGAGTATAGTCATTAAGAATTATTTTTAATTTCATAAAGTTAATGTTTCCAAAGATAATTTGTTAATAATGTTATACTTTATGAAACATTAAATAATGTTTCATAAAGTATCATGGATGAGATATTGTAAAATATTCCAATATTTTTAAATGATATGCAACTTGTGTGAAGATGGCATAGCTTTAAAACTGAACAATCAATGTGATGGTGCTATGATACAAAACCCATCAAACAGATTAGAGCAAACCATCGTTATCAGATCTTCAGTTTGCTTTATAATTACTTTTAAGAAAAAGAAGAAAGATGATGTCAAAAAGGTTGCAGAGATTCTGTTAGATATTTGTTACTGTGCTAGCCGATAGATGGCAGTGGCTTTTAGATCAGCATCATTAACAGAAATGCAGCAAAGGTATGCGCAGATTGAAAAAGAATTCTTAGCAGTTGTATATGGGTTAGAACATTTCAACTACTATACGTACGGAAGACATGTAACAATGCAGACTGATCACAAACCATTACTAGTCCTTAGCAAGAAATCTTATGATACAATCTCACCTCGTCTTCAGCGCATGCTCCTCAAAGTGAACAGATATGATCTGAAATTGGAATATGTCCAAGGAAAAGAACTGCTAATAGCTGATGCCCTGTCCAGAGCACAGTCAACTGTTGACACCTTTGATGATACCTTTAGCCAAGAACCTACTGTTCATTTCAGTCTATTAACACAAGCCTATCCAAAAAAGTGGCAGGAAATCATAAAAATTACAGAAAAGGACCCTGAATTTCAAGATGTGTTATTTCACATAAAAAATGGATGGCCAGAAAGAAGCAAAACAAGGCCAGCAGCACAACCTTACTGGCACTGCAAAGAAGAGCTTTATGTGACAAAGGATGGACTAATTTGTCAAGGACAACAAATAGTTGTGCCAGCATCTCTTAGGAAAGTAATTATGAAAAACCTGCATGTGTCTCAGAAAGGTATAGTTTCTAGTAAAGCTAGAGAATACTTTTACTGGACTAACATCAACAAACATGTGGAAGAATATGTTTCCAAATCTGAGATATGTCAGAAATATCAACAAGCTAATCAGAAAGAAGTTCTTTTAGACTGTGATCTACCGGAGAGACCCTGGAAAAAACTTGATTGTGATTTCTTTTACCTGAAAGGACAATAATATCTGTTAATGATAGACTTCTTTTCAAAATATGTAGAGCTGAAACCACCTAAAATTATAACAGCTCAAGCTGTAATGATAGTTATGAAGTCCATTTTTGGAACACATAGAATACCAGAGAAGCTCATCACTGATAGTAGAACACCATACAACTCGGAAGCACTGCTAAAATTTCTTGAAGAATGGGGTGTTACACATAACATCACATCACCACATTTTCCTAGAGCAAATGGGCAAACTGAAAGATCTGTCCAAACTCTCAAGAAGTCTCTGAACAAAGCTGCAGAAGAAGGAAAAGACTTATATATTGTTTTGCTAGATTATAGAATTCAACCTGCAAAAGATTTGCCATCCCCAGCTGAATTATTAATGGGAAGAAGACTGAGATCTTTTCTGCCATCACATCCTAAAGCATTGCAACCAAAATTTCAAATAAAAGGTGCAAGCAAAGCCTTAGACAAAGGTAGATGAAGCAAAAGAAATATGCCAATAAACATGCAACCCAGCTTCCAAAACTTCATGAAAATGATAAAGTGTACTTCTAAGAGAAAATTAAAGAGCCTTAAAAACAGGGTAAGATCATGAAGACAGGTCCTCAACCAAGATCTTATGTCATAAAAGCAAATGATGGAACTGTGTATAGGAGAAACCAACATCACATTCATAAAGACAAGTCTCGGTATAAAACTACATAGTGGAACAGAACAACAGAAGATTTGTTTGGACTTGGTCAATCAACGATGGATCAACCTGTTCTTGTACATGATGATACGCAGAATTCACCTAAGGAACAGTCTCAAATTGCAGGAAATATGTCAACTGAACCAGTGTTAAGATGATCAAGCAGAAATAGAATAAAACCTCTTCGATATAGAGACAATTAGGAAGAAATTTTGATGCCATAAAATCATACTTTATAGACTAATTATGGAATTTAATGAACTGTTTAGAACTCTAAAATATCAGTTTAATTAGTAAATCATAATTTTAAAGATTTAAGTGAGCTATTAAGGTCAGTGGCGTAAATAAGGGTATGCAAGGAATGCCATCGCATAGGGGCCCGAAGGCTTAGGCCCATATCACACGGCGTTTGTTTCACACGAACAACTGTTTCGGACAATTTTTCTGCCTGGTTTACTATTGAAAGAAAGACGCGCGACTTTTTCCTTCCTTTCCAAAAAAATTGCAGGTTGTTCGTTTTCAACCAATCAGCTATCAGCTTGTTTTGTAGTGGGGAACCAGTTATCCCTGCGTTAACCCCAAAGCAATCTGTTTTGATTGGCTGTTGTGACAAAGCAGAAAAATTGTTAAAAACAGTTGTTCTTCCGAAACAAACCGACGTGTGATAGCAGCCTTAGGGGACCTTGAATGTCCTGTTCAACTACATTTACATGTTTAAATTTAACCACCTTTTTTAAAGTTTTTAAGGGTCACCTACCTGCCATATATATATGACGCAGATAGGGGACTCTTGCAAGCAGATAAAGCAGCTGAATTCAGTGTTGCACTGAATACAAAGCATTGCAGACATATGCTTTTGTTCTGACTCTACCTAACCTACCTAAACCTACCTAAGTCATTACCTAAACCGGGGCCAGACTTTTGCTCGGGTTTACTATGAAAACAAGTTCTAAATTTCTTTAACGAGCACTTGGTAAAGGAAGCAGACGTGAAGATACAGCCCCCCTAAATTTACTAGAATTCCCAGAAATTCCAGTTCTAGAAAACAATTTTATATTGCAGCCAACATATCAAATTTTCTGGCATGCGAAAAGAGTGAGTTGGCTGTGGTAAAAATTACTACAGTCAAAAGTCGTTAATTCGGACACCCATAATCCGGAATGATCTATAATCCGGACCTCAAAGCTACAAACTTTCTGTGCATGCGTCGCGTTGACGCATGTGCGTAAGACCTTTACGGCTGCAACTATGCGTGTGCACATGCGCAAAATACGTTTACACATGCGCGTTTAATGTATAACGGACGATATAAGCTAAGCTAAAATTATCTAATTCAGTTAATGTTGCAGATTGTGTTGTTCCTTAATCTTCGAATTGGATTCAGCTTATTACTTTTTGCAGACTGTTAGAGCAATTTTATAAAAGTAAGCTTGAACTTTCGATTATGTCAAATAGAATTTCTGATATATATTTACTAATATGTAAAGGATCTACAAAGCGAAAGTATGTTTCGAAGTCCATTAAACAAAAAGTAGAATTGCTGCAAAAAATGGATAAAGGCATATCCTTTGTTTATCTAAACTTTAACGTTTGTTTATCTAAACTTTGTTTATCTTTAACGCGGCAGCCGGCGCCAGCAATGAATTGGAAGTTGATCTGTCAGCACTATCCTTATCTTCAGGGCAGATGTTTTTATTTTATTTGGCTTATAATTCGTTACTAAATGTAGTATTTTATCTCGATGTACTCGGTCTTTGATATGATTTAAATCAAATTCCTCGTCATTATAATTCGCTTCGGATAGCGAAGAAAATGACAGAGGTTATTGAAAGCGAAAAAATTTCGATTGACAAATTAGTCGGTTTTCTCGACACAGCAATTATAGGACTTCAACAGCGGAACTTTGTAACTGAACAAGAAATTATGTCTGTTTATAATATTAAAAAGAATGTTTTATCACATGAAACGAAGCAAAACTTAAACAACTTACATTGAAAGAAATGTTTAATAAAGTAAACAAATAAATATTAAGCTTTTTTTTTTTTTTTTTGTAAATTTGATACCCTTTAGATCATAACTGTTCTTTATTTCATAAATTATGGTTTCATATTTTTAATTTTATAATTTCTGCATGCCATTTATCAGATTTAAACTGATGATCTATAATCCGGAAAAATCGATAATCCGGAATCGCCGAAGTCCCGACAAGTCCAGATTAACGACTTTTGACTGTATATCAAATATAAAAATATGTATGGCAAGCTTTAATGCTCTATCGAGAATTCTAAATATATGCTGTTTTAAAACATATTGCGATTTTAATGTAGAACGTGTTTTATTTGACATAAGTGCGGAGATTGCGATATTTAGTAAAAAAAATTTAATACATAAAAAGTTAATAATGAGGAGACAAAAAAATAAATTGTGAGTCAGTTAGTCATTATACTAAGAAAACTGAATATTGATATAATAAACTGCGAAAAGACTGAAAAGACTATAAAAATGTATACCAAAATTTAACATTGCATTTGGGAGTTCTAAACATATGCTGCTATTCAGCTTTTAAAAATTTTGTGATTTGGGTGCTGAACTGTCTATGAGGTAAGTGAAAAAAAATTATGTTTAATAATAAAGGCAAAATAAATAAATAAATAAAAGGAATGATTAGCAGAAAGGACTACGTAC